GTTAATTGAAACAAGACATTTTACCTCTCCTTGCCCATTATATCCAAAAACATTCCTCCAGTTCAGCTCCTACAATCAGTAGCTGTCCAGGATTAAGAATTCTTGGGTACAGCAGGAATGAGAGAGTGTTCAGAGGACTGAATTGTTATGTTGACTATGCACCAGCACTTGGAATAAGCAGAAGGGACCACAACTCGAGGTACTCAAAGTAAGGTTGAAGGATTGTGTGACTGGCAGGTATCCCTGAGGTACATCACCTGCCAGGGGTACTCGGGCAGCTTCATTGACCTACTTTCCATATACAAACAAGTCAAATCAGTGATATTTATGACATTTGTTTTAATGTATTAAAACAAAATTGCCAAAGGCTTGGTTCTGACCTCACACCTATTAAATGCATTGATCGCAGTGTAGTTTGTCCTGATTTACACAAATCTAAGTGGAAGAATCAGGCTACAAGTAAAAATCTCAAATCTGATTTTCTCAATTACCCACTTTCACCAACCATTACTGTGTCACTTGTTACTCATTTCAAGTATGTCTGTACTTCATTAGGTCACATTTTGGAAAATCACAAATCCAAAATGCACAACTGATTTAGTGGTAGTAAAACAGACAGTTTCAGTTTTCCAAGGCACTAACTAGAGAGGTTATAAAAGGAAGAGCAATGCACATGATGTGGTTTGTTTGGCAAGCAGCAATCATGATATCACATGCACTGTCCATGATACTGCCTGACTTGTGTTTTCCAATTCTTGTGAATTAGAGTTTTTATTTTATTTTATTCCTGACATTTTCATATACTGCTTATCAGGTGGCATCTAAATGATTTGTCTGTCTACAACCCTCCAAGAGTAGCAGCAACAACTTCTGAAGGGTGAGATGTCCTTCTCAAAAACTGCCACCTCACAACAACGGGGATGAAAACAAGTGTGAATAGCAATTTCTGAGATGAGCCAAAGAAACCTCCGAAATGGCTTCCTGTTGAGATCAAAGGGGATTCCGGGGCAGTCACTGGAAGATTAGAATTTGCAGAAATTTTCCAGTGCAAATGTTGAATATATATGTTCAAAGCCCACTCTGAAGCGAAGTCGAATCTAACACTAAGTCCCATCCTGCTCTTTTTGGAAGGCAAGGAAGTCAGCACCCAGCAGTCTCCTGTAAGGATCTGCAGCTTCTGGCATATAAAGCTGCCCCTCTGAAGATACCTACTGCAGTAGAGCATGCAGGCACCTGCCATTTCAACAGCTCTTCAATCTATCAATTTAATCTTTTCAGTGGTGTTTACTGGCCAAGAAGCTCAGATCCTTAAGTGCTGAAGCATAGTAAGACAAGGACATCTTTAGTTCTCTTTTTGGATGTTGTCCTCTGAGCAATTATCTCATCAACTATTGGATTTAATACTGCACTTGCATTTGGTAAGCAGGAGTAGAATGCTCCCTTCACTTTTTCAGTGCAAACTACGTGCAAGCATTTGGCCAGGCCTAAAGTGCTATTACCTGTGTTGAATCTAGAAAAATCTTTCAGTGCTCAGTGTCTGGGATCCACTTTTTTCTTTAGTTAAATACCAGGTCAGTCCTAACCTCAGCCTAACATCCAGTGCAGACTTAACTCAGGCTCAACTGCCAGTTTTTTCTCCTTAATACGTTCTGCGTTCATACATCCACATGCCTCCATGCTCCATCAGTGCTACATTCTGATGTAGCCACTGCTGCCTATCCTGTGGGGCAGATCCCAAAGCAGCTACAGTAAAGAAGTGCAACTAAGGGCAATCACAACACAAACATGATGGTCCTCCAATCCCTTCCTATAAGCCCTCTGACCAGAAGTGGACTACAAGTGGCTCCTGTAAGCCAGGATGGCTTTCTGGGCTCTCCTCACCCCTGCCCCCTCCCACCATGCATGACAGAGCTATGGGTGATGGGCAGGGATATTTGCAGGGTTTGGAAACTAAGGGGTCTATCCTAGTGTCTGGAAACTAAGGGGTAGTGAAGCCACCCTACTGGCACCCCGCAGGCCACGTATAGTTTGGGCAGCAGCCAATAGAGTGGGGGTATCTGCTACAGGCAAAATATTACTGATCAAACAGCTTTGATATAACTTGGAGAGGAAATGCAGGGCCAAAGGCCAGTGACTGGAGCCCCTGCATGGAGAAGGTATATGGTGTGGCGAGTGCCCCAGCAGGTAGCAGTCTCAGTCTCCAGTAGGGCAGGTTTAAAAAGGAGTGGTGCTTCATACAGATGATGCAGGGAAGGTGTGAGGAAGCCTACCCAAATCCCAATAAGAGGTAAGACAACTGCCTTCCTTTACCAGGGAAACTGAGGCACAGTTAAGTGGTGCAATGGAAGACCCCAGCCAAAAGGAGGGAAGTCGAGGCAGATACAGACTACTGCATAAGATGTGATATCTATTGCTTCACATTCTGGGTCGTGCCCTCAGGATGGGTATTTTGCATTTGGCAGTCAGCTACTTCCTCAGTCATAGCCAGACTCCATGTACTAAGGGCAAATTAAGAGATGGAGGATTTATTGAGGGTTGGACAGTCCCTTCATCAGTGCAATAGGATACTTGAAACGGATGATTAGATGCCAAGAGTCAGACTTAAAACTTGAATGGAATGCAGTAGGAGGCATCAGGTCTGGTACAAAACAAACAAATGAAAGTTGCCTTCAAGTAAGGCCAGCAGGATTTTAGCCTTAAACACAGTCCACCACAGAATTGTCTCTAGGGCTTGCTCCTCTCAGGTGTTGAGCACCCTCAGCTCATTGGAACTTCAATGGCAGACAAGGGTTCCCTGGCTGGGATTGAGCTCTAACAGCTTTTGCAGCTCTGGTATAAATGAGCCCAATCTTACTCCAATGGAAGTCAGTGGGAGTTTTGCTATCAGACTTCAGTGTAAGCAGGAAAAGGCGCCTGTAGCTTTACGGTGAGGTTTTTAATGTGAATATCTGTCAACACTATCATCAAAACATTTTGAAAAACAACTCTGGCAGGGAGTGAATTTTCTACTATTGGATTTTATTTTTATTTTAATTTCTTCATAAATGACAGGTCAAAATCTGGCAAACAAAAGCTACCTACATTTCTTAAACTTTGCTTATTTTAATGTTACTTAGTTTCCTAGTAAAATGTATGACTTTTTGTGATTTAACTGGTTTGTGGATCCATACTTATGTTGTTACTGTTCATCATTATGGTTTTAATTATTCATGAGCAAGGATTTCAAAATGTGTAAATTCCATTATAATAAAATCATAACCAGCATACTATTACATGCAGAACATTTTATGCAATTTGAAAACAGTAGTTTCCCAAATTACACAAATTGAACAAATGAGAGTTTTCATTCTTTCCAATGTAACTTATTTCTTCTTGCGCAGAAGACATTAGGCTTCCATCATCCCTTTCCCCACTAGCTTTCAAGTCCACGAGACAGCTCCCTGTTGAAGGTTTCAAGAATAATTTCAGGGGCTGGAGATCGTTCATGGCTGTTTGAATAGTGCAAATACTTTCTCTGGGTTAGATCCACTACTGTGGCATTTAGCAAAATACAACGTGAATTACCATTTGAAATCACAACTGGCAGGTCCCGAATAGAAGTGTGATTTCTAGGACATTTTGTGCAGATCAGTTTTCTCGGGTTACATCTTTTAGTCTCACGCGACATATCATCACATAAACGAGGTATTTCAATACAGCGATTGACATTCAGCAGAAAACACTTTCTGGGGGATGAGAAGTTCCTATTATAGAATCCAGTGTAACTACGCACGAGAAATAACACGTTCACTAAAATCAGATCGCTGCTATCTTTTTAGCAATGGCACCTCATTTTGTCTCCCATGCTTTTGGGGAGCGGCGAAAGCAGACTGTGTGTCAGATTCGTACATTTGCACATGCATCCTCCCCCCCGAATCACGTTCTGGAAAGGAGATGAGGCTGTGAAAGTTACTAGTGAGCCCGAGCATTTGTTATGTCAGCCAGCG